GGCGCTGTCGTTAGCACACCGTGGATCAAATGCGCTGTTGATGTTACGAGCTGCCTCTGCTACTCTACAACCTAAGTCGATTTAGAATGAGAAAATCGCTCTAATTGCTTTTTGTTTAACATCTCTCCATAGTCTACAATAAAAACGAAACAAAGATCGCTGAAATTGGTGAGATTAGCGCTCTTGAATATTTATCGAATGCCTGAGAGAAAAGCAGTGTCCAGAGAAAAATACTAAAAGCGCGGTAAGAGATTTATTTTCAAAGAGCAAACACAGTGTTAAAATTTCAAAGATTTAAGCTATTGACTGGTTATTGAATGGTGATGGCTTGATGACAACGTTGCGAAGTCCATCTGCATACCAATGCATGGTTGCGGGCCGCATGTGAAATGCAGTCTTAAGCTCAGTGTTGCATCGCAATAAAAGTCCTTTTAAAAAACCAAAAGCACTGTTGAATTCGCCGAAATTTAGGCCGGAATAATTACTGGATTTTCCAAGGACAGTTTTTGCTTAGCAAAAAATGCTTGAGTGTGGAATAAAATCTGAATTCTAAGAGAATTGAGTGGTGATCAGTGGGGAATCAACCTCGCGTTTCATCCATACCAGGGGCGCGTGCTACTATCATTACATCACCGAAGCACACTCGTACCACCCTTTACTGTACAACATCTCTGTGTTAGCTTTCAAATTTCCTAGTATTTTTACTGCATTTTGCTCAGTGTTATGGAGTTTCGTACGTACCTATGATAATTGAGTGGTGCGAAAAATGCAGTGAAAATACTAGAAATTTTGAAAATCTGAATCGTATTGTTGCAGAACAGCATAAAAGCCATTCAAAAGTAAAATATTTCGCTCATATTCTAGAGATTCAAGCTATCAAATGACTACTAAAAGTTTGATGAAAACCAAACACAAGCTAAATTCGAGAGAGCAATCCGCACCGAAGATGAAAAGTATTATTCTCTTTGCTGTCGCGGCAGGATAAAAAGGTCTTCCCAAAGATCAGGTACAGTATTAAAGTAGCCATTTTCAAACTTTGAAAGTTTACTAAAGCTATGACGAGAACGTTCTGTCCAACCACTACAACAAGCCACAGTATCAGCTCTACCATCAAGATGCACTATCATTCTGCCCATATACAAATGAATTTACAAAATCATTCTGATTGGCATGTTGCCTCAACATAGTCTGATGAAAGATTTTTGAATCAAGAGTTAAGTTAAATTCTTTACTATACCGATGGTTCAAAGTCAGGTATCCGTTATATAGACACATAATTTCAAAACGTAGCAGCTTGCCGGTTGTTCCCATAATTAATTGAATTTTATAGCATGAAAAAAGGAATTGGCCCGACGATCTATGAACTCAAGAATCGTGGTGATTTCCTAGCTGTCACCGTGATACTTCAAATAAAAGATTTGAAGAGTTATACCATAGCATGGATTATTACGCGTTTTGTGAGAATGTATTGTGCTGATATTGCACGCATCTATGAATTCCGGATACAGAAACCAAACGTCTAAACGCTATTTGTTCACGTATATGTACACTTATTTGCCAGCTGTCCGACCCTCCGGTATTTTGTATCATGACTATTTAACTGCATAGCATAAAATACTTTGAAGTTACAACATCTTCATAAGATTTTTTGAAGTGACGGGCATTTCGTGAAGTGGCATCACGTATCCATAGCAACAAGAACAGCATAGACCATGTTTACCTCAATCTCGCCTATTTATCGCTTTCATTTTCATTTCAGAAAAAATCTATTTGATAATTTTTCAAGCATTTTCACATATTATTTTCATTAGAGAAAAAAACTATCGCAGCATGCCCAGTATTCACTGAATAATAGTCAAATTCAGTGATGATCTGATCTTGAAGAATATTTGAATTGCTTACATAGGTAAGTCAATAACATGGAAGTCGCCCACTAAACTATTTATTTGAGTGTTCGCGCAGTCGTATCAGAACTACTCTCTTTCTTGTTCACTATTTTTCGTCACTATTTTTCTCATACTTTTTTGAATGGAAAATTTTGTCGTTACACTTATGTTTTGAAAGATATCACAACATGACCGTAGGCTAATAAGCGCCTCAAGTCCAGATTTTTTCCTTTTTATTAGTTTCAAATTTTATTTCCTTCTTTTAATGAAATAATTTTCTTCCATAACTATTCCTGCTCAACGTGCGCAGCCTTTTCCATGTGTCCCCGTTCTAAATTAGTCGGTCATCGTTCCCCAATATCCAGTTTGGTTTTTCTGTTCGCCTAGTACAAAAGAATGAATTAAATCTGCTGCCGTTTAACAATATCCATTTTCTATCTTTTGATCGGTAAGTGCACAGGAATTGACCTAAATCAGCTGCCTAAATGCATTCCCTGACATTGCACAAAGTTTAGACTGATATTGAGATTGGACGAAACCATACTAGCACTATTAGTATAATAAAAACCACGACTATAATCTTCAACATTATCACTGTGGGAAGGAAGCAAGTGGTGGAGTAGCTAGTGGCGCACGTTATCAGGAGAAGAGGTGATAGTTTTACTCGTCCCCAAACCTCTGGCATTCAGAGTCTTTTTTTGTTAAGAAGATCCAATGTTGTTAATAAAATTGTTTATTGAGTAAAATAGAATGAGAGCAACAAAAGTAGTACGACCAGCGTTTTGACGAGCTTAGTCAGAGCCCGTGGAGGTAAAATTGATCGGAAAACTACTCAGTGGAATACTCCCACAGTCCAGTTAGGAAGGAACTGTAAATCAACTTTAGTAAAGCAAATCATTTGAAGCGCTCACCGTTTAGTTGAATTATAAGTGTTTCAATCATGTTATACAATTATAATGAAGCCAAGCCGCTCCGAAATTTGCATAAGTAAGAATCCCTGACTCACATAGTGAAAGTTAGGCTGAGATAGAGCGGGAGGTCACACCTAATTACGAGGAACTCCTCTTTGCGGTTCATTTTCGGATTATTAGTAATTATCCAAGAACGAGTAAGCTATATAAAGATTTCACGGCCAAAATATCGCCATTCTACAACAATATTTCGATTCTTATATGAAAATCAAAAAAACTTATCTTGATTAGCTGACGTGACGTTGGTAAATTAGTCGTAGAAGTTCGGCCGATGTTTCGGCGACCCGCCTTCCTCAGAACCTGGGCGTATGTAGTATTAGTCTATTTGAATGATTTGGAGGAACTTATTTATATGCTGCCCAGGTCAGGTCTTTTAACCTTCCAAAATCTAAAGACTCTTAGAAACAATTAAACTGAAGCTTTTTCGATGATCGTTTAATTCCTTTCTTAGCACAGAAATCTATAAGAATGGAAATCTAACAATATTTTTTAGATTTTGAAAGGTTAAAAAACCTGACCGAGGCAGCATATAAATAAGATCCTTCAAATCATTCAAATAGACTGATACTACATAAGTCCAGTATCTGAAGAAGGCGGGTCGCCGAAACGTCAGCCGAACTTCTCGACTAATTTACCAACCTCGCTTCAGCTAATCAAGATAACTTTTCTCGATTTTCATATGACAACTAATTATGCCGAGGTTTATAGAAAGTCGAACTTATGAATATTCCGATTGACGCAAGAAGAACGGTTCGATAAGGCGATAGAATTTCGCCAAAATTATCCACTGCCACCCTCCAAAATATTATGCGAACTCTAGAATGGGGCGATATGGGAGTGAAAATCGACGGTCAACAATTAAACCATCTTCGCTTTGCTGACGATCTCGTCCTCATAACACCAAACATCAGCCAAGGGGAACGAATATTGACCGATTTCGATAACGCCTGTGGAAAGATTCATCTTCAACTAAATATAACGAAAACGATGCTCATGAGGAACGGATGGGTTCTGAACGCCCCATCTACGCTCAACGAAACGAACATTTCTGAATGCTCTAGTTATGCCTATATAGGTCCTGTAATTGTAATCAGTATGATGAGCGACCTAGCTCCAGAGTTGAGCAGGAGGAAACGAGCGGCTTAGGGAACGTTTGAGAGCATCGAAGATGTAGTGAAAAGGACAAAGAACATCCGACTCCGTGCCCACCTTTTGACTCGACAGTTATCCCTGCCCTAACGTATGCAGCAGAAACCTGGTCGCTATGCAAGCAGAATGAAAGATCACTTGGCGTCCATTGAACGTGCAGTCGAAAGGTCGATGCTAAGAATATCCCGTTTTCCGCAAATGAGAGAAAGGATCCGAACTTCCGACCTATGTCAACGATCGAAGATCGGATACGCCATTCTACACGACAGGATATCGAAAATAAGGTGGGCTGAACGCGTGATGATGAGCTTCAAAGACAACCAATGGACGAGAGCCGTTACCTACTAGATTCCTCGGTATATCAAGCGCTTTACAATAAGACCATCGACCTGATGGATCGATTTCTTCATGAAAAGACCAGAAGAATGATATGATTTCTAGAACGAGGAGTACCCACTGGGCTACTCTCGCACGCGATAGGGAAAAATGGAAGTGTTGCTGGTACCCGCTCTGGTCACTCGGCGATCAACAGGACGACAGGTGATACAAATGATTCAAGAACGCCTTAGATCGATTATCTAAAATAGCACGAGACTCGACTTGACCAGTGTTCAGTGACATTCATGAATAGAATGAATTTTTCTAGCAGTTGAGACAATACTTGAGGTGTTCATAGAAACTTTGAGACGATCAAATGGAGTTATTTTTCTTAAATTGCTTCTAGCGATGATACGATGTTACAATGCAGAGTGATGTGCAATACTTTTTGGGTTAGGCAAGGCTCGAATATTACCCTATCCGGGGGAGCGTCCTCGAATCGTTGCACTATCAACTCCTGACTTGGTACCACTCTTTTTGATCATCTAATACTCATGATCTATCAGCGTGACTGGGTTCAGTGCCGATATCGACTATCCACTTCAGACCGTTGACGGTTGGTTGTTGAGATATAGATGCGTTATAGTGTAGAAAGAGTGGTGTCAAAGCAGGAGTTGATAGCCCAACTGTTAGGGCACGCCACCCTGGATATGGTGAGATGCGGGTTCGAGTCCCGTCTGACGGAAAGAGTGCGGAACGATTGATGTGAGAAAATGAATTAAATGCAAGAGGTAGGAGGAACACAATAAAATGTCAGAGCGGGTTGTGAAATGAAAGTAATCAATATTGTAAATTACATAGTATGCTGAATTTGGAGAAAAAAGTGAAAAATTTTGATAGTCACCATTAAATCATAGCTTGGTAAGTTAAATAACATCCATATTTTTGGCAGACATCTGTAGATTCCAAAAATCTTCATCTTAGTCAACGCAATCGTGGACACACCTAATCGTTTGTTGTGGACAATATGAATCACATATAATTCTTAAGGTTTAATGTGAATAAAGGCGCTTCATTATTTTTGTTTGCAATTGTTTTCTGTATAATTATTTTTTCTTCACATAGAACCATTTAAGCGACTCCTTTCTCTATAGGAGGTGGAATGCTTGAGAATTATTAAATATAGATCAAGCATTCCTCAGACGAGAATCTTCTCAACTGCTGTAGTGAGTGCATTATCGCTTTGATAAAACGAGGCAAAATTCGTGAGAGAGAATAAAACGTTAGCAATACATAACTTGTGCACACGCCAGTGGGTTGAAAATATAGACTGTAAGCTAAGATATCTTCAAAATTCGTTGTTGATATGAAAAATGAAAATCATTATAATCTTTCCGAGTGGATCACTCAACAAATATTTGTATTAATAGCCACTATAATTTGTGCGCTATTTATTCGAGAGAAAATACTACAGTTTTCTTAGATCAACTTACGAAATTCGAAAAAAAATAGGAAGTTAGCCTCTTTTTGAACGAAAATAGTAGATGATCATTTCTGGCCGGGGTATTATTAGGTCGTTCATAGGTTTTGGTTTCAGAACAATAAACACAAATTTATTAGCCAAACGCAAATAAAATTGCATGGTTTTGGTATTGTTCAATTACGCATTTTCTTGCGAGCATTTTGGTGTGCAACTTGCGTTGGAATGCTTTATAATGGAGCTGTAATGGGAACAAATTCGCTGGCGATTCATGCATGAATGACGCGTAGGTGGATATACTAGCGAAATGACGTGCAAGCTTAATAGAGCTTCATGTGGGCGGCCCCAGCGCGAATGATCCTCCAGACTGCTTTCTCCAGTCTTAAACTTCGCCATCCATTTTTTAGAAGTTCTTTGTGCAACTGTATCATCGCTATAAGCTCCATTTATCCTGCGCGCCGCTTCGCTAACGTTTTCCTCTACGCGTCATTCGTGCACGAGCAGCAAGAATTTGCTTCCACAACAGCTCCATATCAAAGCAATTGTAGGCAGGCTATATTCCAAAATATTCGGGAGAATCTGCGCAATCGATTGCGACTAAAATTATGCAATTTTGATCACTTCTGTTCAATAAATTAGGTGCTTATTGCTCTGCTGCCAAAACTTATGGAACGACATAATATTTTTATGACACTTTCTTCATTGACAAGATTACAAGTTTTCCTGAATCTGAAGATAGCAGATATGTTTAAGTTTAAATTCAATTTTGTTTCAATTACTCTTCAAGCGATATTGATAATCGGTGCTTTCGCTTCGTTATTCTTATTTTGTTTCGTTTGTCAAACATTAAAAAAAATGCAATTGCCTGGTTATACCTACTATAAAGCAAATGAGATGTCTGTTCTGTGAGGAATTTTCGTATTGAAGTTTAATTTCATTACTCACTCGCTTACCTTAATCCTTAAACGACCATTCTCCGCAAAAAAGACCTTCAGGCTTCTTCACAGTTTCCAATTGGCATCAAATTTGCTGATTGCGAAAGATTTTCGTTGCTGCGATTCTCGAACGGCCTTCTGTCGCTTCGCATTCCTTCATTACACTGTCACGAAATTTCAAATCTTCAAGATATCATCGAGCCAGCTGTTTTTGAACATATTTACAACTATAATGCAGTTTCTAAGAGTGTCTTGTCAAATTCCTGTAATTTACAGATTCAACCATGGAGTTGAGCCTTATGCGGCTTGATTTCGCACAAGTCGGTACTACGAACCGATTATGTATGCGAGTTATACCGTCGGAGAAAATCAATAAGTCAAAGAAGAAAAGGCCATTAGAACGGGCAAGTTTTTTTTGTATTTCTTTGATAGGAACACAGAATTTAATGCCATTAAAGTCCACTTTTCTACAAAATCAAAGAGTAATTTGTAGCTCATCACCAAGATTTCGAGCAATTTTCGAAATGTACGGTTTTACCAAATTATATGACTCAACCCCAAGAAGTGCCCGAAAATCAGCTTTTACCTCATTTATTCCGTTGTCGTGAACACGTCCTTCACAGAAATACTCGGATCTACTTGCGAGTTTTATCTCCACTAATTTTTTTTGCTCTCGATGACTATCATTGAATGCTGTTTAGACAGGAGTATTCTAGATTTTTGTAATAGTTATGCTAGAGTGTTTTCACTTCTCTACCACACGTACAAGCCAACCTCTGTCGATTGGAGGAAGTTATCTACACTGTTTCACCTCTTTTGATGCTCTAGAGCCTCACATTGCCGCAGGACTAACTAGCTGGAAATGTAGTGAAAATTTTCTGAACAGCAATATTCATTTGCTGTAGGAAGGCCATTAAAGTGACTCATATTGCAAATATATTCAAAGAGTTCTCAGTGAAAGTTTTAGCCGTATTCGAGTCGTTTCTACGGTTTTCAGCGTTATTCGATTCACTTTCTCCTTTCCCACCATCCAAAAAGCCTTGGATCGCATTATACGACTAGGAAGAATGAGCTCGCCTCTGATATGTACCAGAGAGGCACGTTCAGGAAGTCAAGGACTGGAATGGCTAATATGGATATGGAATGTAAAAGCGATAAAATTGCGGATAAGGAATAATTCGACGAGCACTCTGCATAAAATCGTGGACAATTTGCAGGTCAAACTTATCTGGATAATCGAATGACCTGTTTGACTGATTTTTCAGTCTACATTCCTTTATTTTTCGCGCAGTTGCTATTTATATGATGGTTCATTTTGTATGTGGTGATGTACATAAGATCCATTCTCTATTTCTGAATTCGCTGTCATCTGGTAATGCAGATGGTTGATATTGGCCATGAAAATGTCCACCCATCGTTTATATGGCTATTCAAGTAGACATTTGCACCTTCCCGATAGATCTCCTTGTGAAGGTAGGATGTAATATAGAAAGCGAGAAGATAATAGATTGTAGCCCTAGCCTCTAAGGTAGTCCTCCATGATTGTAGAGGGTGCATTTTTTCAGGTGCTTTAACGCACCTCAAACTGCAAGGACAAAACCTAGGATAAATTTCCTCTAGCGAAAATTTCGGTGATCGAGACGGAATTGCAGAGTAGCGAACCATGACAGCTACAAAGATACCGAAGGCACTTCCTCGGACTAGATCGTTTTTATGCTGCTTCCAATAACTTATGTTTTTAGTCCACCGTGGATTTTTCTGCAAAGATTCTTTATAATTGGAATTTTTTATCTGTATAGTTAAATGTGTTGTGAATTTCTTCAGTTATTTTTAGGTGGTTGTTGGAAGTCAGAATGGTAGTGTCATTTGTATGAGTCGTAAGAATAACGATACTCAAGTAGGTGAACAAACTTTAACCATTATAATATTTACACGACAATGTGTGCACCTATTCCTACATGCGGTCCTTTGAAGCAGCTTTTCTTTATTATGTACTTTACTCTCCTCAGCCTTTTTAGTGATCTTTTAGTGGTTTGTGACCCAAGGATTATAATGGCGAGTTGCAAATTATAGTCTATCGCTCTAAGGTGATTATTCATTAGTAAACCAATATTAAGCGAGCCGTGGTCGAAAGGTTTTGGTGCTCATCACGGAGCACGTGCGACCAAAGCCCACCCCCTAACACTGTCCGGCAGTCGACAACGAACACCCCCTATGGAACGCCACGGCCAGGCTACCCTCGAGATTGCAAGGAGACGCACTTAATCTGAATTATACGACGTTCAAGAAGAAGATGAAAAGAAAACGAATTGATTGCTAGAAATACTGGAATCCCTACAGAGGAAAAGCACCGTGAAGACGGATGATAAAAAAAACCAATCAAAAAAACCTATATTGGTTTCAATGTGATAACCAATCGCAGTGTGATTTGTTTGCCCTCGTAGAGTCAAACTACATAGAGCACATGTGCTCTGATTTTTAAATTGCTTGAATTATATTAAGAACTGTGAGTAGCCGTACATCACTTTCCATTACATGTGTTTGTTTTCAAGATCATCTACAAAACACCTCCCGGTCCACCAATAGAAGCTGTGTGTTTGGGTGGAGCGATTGGAACACTTCAAGATAAGGTAATCTTACAACTGGCTAGTTAGGAAACCAGTATATACATTATAATTCACAGTCATTGGAACTATTTGACAGCATACGAAGCGAAGAGTTAATGTCAGCAGAACGACTAGAAGGCAAAGTACTTTGTAGGCTTTCCTACAGCTGTTTTATATCAAGGAAAGCTTTCTTCTCTCGTGTACAATGCGGCACTAAACTTTGAGTGAATCTTGGCTCAACTTTCATCCTCATTCCCTTGAATCCATCATCCACGTGATCTGTGGTATGGGTCCAGTTAGTAGCTGAGAACTTTTTTCCTCTTCGTCACGAATGATATTGAATAATCGCCGAATCGACCAATGATGGAATCATGCAGCATCTATCCCAGAGCGTTTCTAGGCCGTGCAGATTGGAGCATTTTCTAGGCAAGGGCAATTACATGGTGTTCTTTACCAAATTTTGAATGTTCCCGAAGTTACGAATATTGCTGTTCTAAAAAGAAAGCCGTTATCCTTCCAGCATCCATACAATGTTCTGTTTTCCATACTACTGCTGCACCTTTAGTTTCGATGTTTTTCTTTATACGACGCTCAAATTTCAATATAATTGGCAATTACTTTTGAGTCATGCGCATGGCCTGTTATGGCCACTTACACAGTGCAATACGCGTATTTCAGCCTTGATTAACCTCGTCAAAAATAACTACCAGACATATTGAAAT